ACGACAACCCCCTCCGCATCTTCGCGCTGCCAGAACAGGGCCATGCGAACGTCGAGATCATCGTTGGCCGCAAATGCCAGTTCCACAAACGCATGCACGCGTGGTCCCCTCTCGAAGGGACGGTCGTTGACGGAGCCGTGCATCGTGTGCAAATCTTTGGTCAGACGGCGTTCCTCGATGGCGTCCTTGCAGGCGCGCCGCTTGGCAAGGACATCTCCAGCGCGACGATCAGTCACCCGCCTGCAGAGCGGAGAGCATCTGTCTCTGGACCCAGGCCCGATATGCAAGCAATACTCGGGCGCACCGCGACGGACGCTGCGGCTCAGACACAGCTAGCGCCTCACACTAGCTCGATCTCTTCTACAGCGGTCGCACCTGTGCACGGGCCCATGTCCAACATGCAGATCTTCAGCCATCTGCTCCCCCACCCTGCCTTCAACCGCCGCCACATCCTCACCGTCAAGCAGTTCGGCCACCGCGACGTCCACGACCTCTTCACGCTCGCGCACGAGATGCAGCTCCAAGTTGAGCGGAACGGTATTCTCGATATCCTCAAGGGGAAGGTGCTCGCGACGCTGTTCTACGAGCCCTCGACGCGGACGTCGTCTTCGTTCGACACCGCCATGAAACGTTGCGGGGGAGAGGTCGTCAACGTCAACGTCGACTCATCCTCGGTGCTCAAGGGCGAAACTCTGCCTGACACCATTCGTACGCTCGGATGCTATGCCGACGCAATCGTCATCCGCCATCCCGAGGTCGGCAGCTCGCAGCTCGCGGCCAAGTTCTCGCCAGTTCCGATTTTGAATGCTGGCGACGGCATTGGCGAACACCCTACGCAGGTGAGTGTTTCAGTACAGTCGTGTGAGTTTCGAAACTTACGCTCTGCTAGGCTCTGCTCGACGTCTACACGATCCGTTCCGAACTGGGCACTGTGAACGGGCGTACGATCACCATGCTCGGAGATCTCAAAAACGGCCGGACCGTCCACAGTCTCGTCACTCTCCTCTCGCTTTACTCGGTCCGCCTCAACTTCGTGTCCCCGCCGTCGCTCGCGATGCCCGCCCGCGTCGTATCTGCTGCGCGCAAGGCGGGCATCCCTGTCTACCAGTGCGAAACCCTAGAGGAAGTCCTCGGAGAGACGGACGTCCTGTACGTCACGCGGCTTCAGAAGGAGCGGTTCAAGGACGAGTCGGAATGGGCGGCGGTGAAGGACGCGTACCGGGTCGATCACTCGTTGCTCTCACGGGCAAAGGAGGACATGATCGTGATGCACCCCCTTCCGCGAGTGAACGGTCAGTGGCCTTTCGATTCCTTCTCCACAGAATGGAAACTGACTATCCGGCAGAAATCGACCCCGACGTCGACTTTGACTCTCGCCGTGCTGTCTACTTCCGTCAAATGCGTTATGGTCTTTACGTGAGTTCATATGTCCATGTCCCGGGGCAATAACGTCCAGGCTGACGGAGTGTCCGTTTGTAAGGTCCGCATGGCACTGCTTGCGAGCGTGATGGGTTAGAGTGCATGTCGCGAAACAATGATTCTTGTAGGTTACCATGGACAGAGTTGAACATTGCAGTGGCAACAAAATGTATCAATAGTCGTACCCAGTGTTCCACTAACGTCATGTCATCAAATAGATTCCTGCTCCTTGTGTGAAACGTCTGTTCGGGACTGCCTGTTTTGTTCCTTGTGCGAGGCTTCCGCCAAACGTGGGAGAGGATGGCATAACGCTTGGGCGGGCTGGGGAAGAACTTGAGTTCGGCTGTGTCGGTGGTCAGTAGCCACATATGTTCTGCCAGTCTGCTGTGTGCAGTGTCAGTCTGAGTCGTGACGTAGTGGACAGTAAGGGACGATGCTCCTCACTAACATGAACGATGACCGGTAAGAAGTGGGAGCGTTTGAGGAAGTCACCAACCCGGCGCGTCCTGGTTCTCTTGGATGCTTCTTTACAATCTCACGCTGCTGTGGGCGGTCGGTGGAACCTGGATGCTTGCTCACCGACAGCTCAGCGCTCAAGTTGCGGACTCGAGTCACGATCGAGCTCAGTGCGTTTTGGCGAAGGCTCAGAGCTAGCGCTCAGATCTCAGATCTCACAGTCAGTAGGAGTTCGGACCGGCCTCCTCCGTGACTAGCGGGCGTCTGCCACTCCGCTTCTGGTTAGGATCAGGCTCGGTTGAACTTGAACTTTCTCTTTACACCTATTACTGCCCGCTCACCACATCCTTTGCAAGTGTCATGACCGACGTATCTCAGCCACCCAAACGCAGAGAACGTGTCGACATGGACATCGCCGTCGTGGGCTACCTCCTCAATCTCGACCAAATCACCCCTCCGAATACCGCATCTCCCCGCAAGCAATTAAAGACGTCGGCCCTCTTGACTGCATCTGCTACTATTGGTCTCGTCGCGGCGCCATCTAGCCTCCATCTCTTATCCCATCAGTTACCAAGACGAGTCCGATCCCAGCAAGGTCATAGATGCGTGGATCCTGCCTGGCAAGGCCGCGTTCTTCCCCGAGAATAGCACTCCACCCCCATTACCGTTGAAGGATAAGGCTCCGAGGGCGTATCTCGATACGTGGTTTCCTCGCGACCTCTTCAAACTGAAAGAGTTCAAGAAGATTCCCTACGTCGAAGCGCTCTGGCCACGTGACGTTCCAGGTGCGCAGTCCTACGAAACCAGTCCCGACTCCCGATTATTGTGCGATAAACAATGATCATCGCTCAGTGTTTGGTATAGTCCTGACCGCAATACGTCTACGATCTGATTGCTACCGTCGCGTTGATGAGAAGGGAAAGCAAGAGTGGATCGAGTACCACAAAGTACGGGGCCATGCGAATCCGGTCCTGGTAAGGGTCTATTACTGGGTGTCATCAATCGAGCTGACGTTCAGATATGATAGCCTCCGAACTTGCCACATTCATGGCACGTCGACTCTATATGATGTGTCTTCAAGTAAGTCGCACTTGGTGGTTACTCCGAGGCGGTGTTTGACCACCTGCTAGCTGAGCTCCATCCATCCAGCATCCTATCATGTCTTTGTTGTCGTAGCTTCTGTATGATATCGGAGACATTTTGCATCATATGGTTACGCACCATCACTACACATATCTCGTCGTTGTACTTCACACCCCAGTCATTGACATTGTACCTCCAACATGTCCACCCCTGTATATCGATTATCTGATGTATCGCAAATCATTCTGACTCGCTTTCACCCCAGGCTCTAAACAACGAGAGGTCTAAAACATGAGCACTTCCGGTAAGTTCCATACAGTCGTGTGACGCCTGTACTCATAAAACTCGATAGCTGATCATACATTCCACGGATTTTCTTGAGCAGTGACGGGAGGCTTTGAACTGCATTGAAAAGTAAAACCCTCCCTCCCTATTGGCCGGTATTTCCGGGTCGCCGCTGTCTACTGGATGCACTCACCACATAAGTCCGTCTTCACATCCGAGTGCGCTTTCATGAGGACATCGTGAAGTACTCACTCTCGCCGGTCTATCTCACATTACTCAACCATCCTCCAGGCTCCCTGCCTCCGACCGCCCGGGGAGTTTCCGACCCAACGCCCCGCCCTTGATGGCTCAGATATCACGCCGACGGTGCCGGCTTCTCGACCACTCCATAGGCATAGGACTCATAGACATTTACTTAGGTTCGTCGCAAACGCCTTACACGTCCGGTGCTGACGCGGCGCCCGATGGTCTCGGTACGAGACTATTGGTATAAGATCCGCTCTATGACTTGCTGGCAGAAGATATCGTACAGTACGTATCCCGTAAATCGTTATTGCCACTGATGGTACCGATCCCGGGCCGTTCTGCGCCAGGAAAACCAGACCAGGGATCCGAATTACACATGCGAGTCTCTTGTCTCTGAGTCTGTTTGAAGTCTAGGGCTTCTATACCCTGGACAAGGATAAGTAATCTCTCCTCAACTCCCATCCGATCTCCGGCTGACTCAAGCTGCAGTCGAAGCGAGCTTTGCTTCGCGACGGCGAAGCGCGGCTTTTCCTATACCGACTCGCGCTTGGACGCGGTCTAGGATGATGGACCACGGCATGCTTCTGCGGGATATGACAGCTGGCACGGGTTGCATACCTCCGTTTCAAGACCCACGACGGTTCGCACCACTGGCAGGCTCCCGGTACATGTATACAGTAAGTATAAGAACTTCCGTAAGTTCGTAATGTTACTGCCCTGAACTGATGACGTTCTCAGTGTCTGGGTCGCAGGTCGAGACATCTGGCACAGTACGTGATCATGCCGTACCCGCGTTATACTTGGCTGCATGGATACTACTGACGCCGTCCGAACTTAGCGACTCTATAACACAGCGTTACCCCCGAGCGCGTCGTGCGACAGGATCGGCAGCCGATGACGGTGGAGGCTATCGAGATACTGTCTGTATGCGACTTCTATTCGCACCTGTTCAGTTTTGCAGGGTCAGGGCACACATGTGATGGGAATTGGACCGTCGCGGAATCCACCCAGCCCCGACTGGCTCCTCTGGTTCGTGGACGACCGGCAATAGGACTATTACGACAGCGCACAAATGTAGAACACGAAGCTTCGACTTCTTTCCGCGTCTCCTCACTGGGGCATCTTCCTCAGGTTGCGCTTGATGCCTCCGCTCACGGAATGTACGGGATGTGCACTGAGATATGCCGGGCATCCAGGTATGTACCACCCATGACTCATGAGGTACATGATCTACCTAGACAGCAAGTTACGTGACATATATTTGTGAGTTCAGCAGCCGCGCAGCTTGCATTGCATACTATTTCCGTGACGTACAGCGTTTTTCAAACGCTTGCAGCTCCAATCACAGCAACGAACCGGCGAACTGCGTAGAAAGGCTTCGCTCCGATTCACCATTCAACGGCCGCGGTCTTCAACAAAAAAATCAGGCTGCCAAGAAGTACGGAGTAGGTGTAAGTACTTGAGATTCACACGCGCGGGTCCTCACGGTAACGCTGTAAAGAGCTAATGCCGGTTCAATGGTGTAGTTGGTTATCACGTCTGTCTCACAGCATCCGTTTGCTTAGAACACAGGAGGTCTCCAGTTCGAGCCTGGATTGAACCATATCCGCGGCCCCAATCCCTTTTATCACCTTTTTGATGCACTAGCCATATGTATGATCGGATGCGACACTGCTCTCGGCGGAAGTCTGTCTCATGATATCGTCACAAAGTCTCAAACCGCGTCATTGCCCTTATTGTGCATCGTGGGTACCCACTTGGCTGTATACATTGGCTGCAGATGCCCGGTGCGTGCGGAATACGGAGGAATCCGCCGGAAGGTTCCCCACATCCTTGACAATCTGCGGTGCGTGTCGGTGCGTAGTAAGCACGGCACATGCCTGCGGCCTGCCCGCCCGCCCGACGCTCGCGCTGGAATCTGCACCTAGACACGCTGCTCGGTAGCAAGGGACACCACGGGCCTGACAGAGGGCGCAAAGAGAGTCGATTCGCTCACGAGGGGCGGGGCGGGCACAGGAGCGCCATATGAGGAGTCGAGGACGAGTCGGGGGGGACGCAAGAGCTGTCCCGCCGTCGTGATATCCGCCGCCGAGCCTGAGTGCGTGCAGTGACGGTACTTGGGGGTCACGTTCGCGAGCGTCGAGAGCGCCTCCGAGTCGAGCATCCGGCGCCCGGCGGACTTCCTGATGTTTGAACGATCGCCTGGAGGTATTGACCAGAGCGACGTGCGCGAGCGTGAACTCGATAGGGCGACCAGCGACAACGTCGAGGTGCGCAAGGACAGTGACACAGGGCTGGTATTGGGGGTGCGGGACTGAGATCGCGAGCCTCGCAAGCCTGGGCGCGTTCTGCCAGTGACGGAGGTTGCTGGTCGAGACTCGAGGAGAGCCGGAACGGGATGTTGTGCGGCCACCGTGACGTAGTAGACAGCGGCACCCGCAACGTTCGCAGCACGGTGTAGTACCAGAAGCGCGGTTACTGCGGTAGAGTCGATCGTCGATATTCACGACACAGCGGACATTGGTTGACCCGTGCCCCCATCGTGAGCCTGGCAGGGATGGTCGGTAGTTCCCAGATACAGGTGCACAGACCGTCGGGTTCGTTCGACTCGGTGCATCCGGCGGTGTATCACGGACCTGAGGTACGCGCCGTTGTCGTCTTCAGATACTTCAGATGTAACTTACCGTCTCGTCCCTCCTGGCAATCCGGATGGTACCAACGCGTCTCCTGTGGTTGCAGGTGGCATTTGCCAGCCAGTGGGAGGGATTATCGATTCCGGCTGAGAACCAGGTGAGTATCTGCACGACACGCAGCGGGGAGGACTCTTCGACTCACCGCCGACGCGAATGGCTCCACCGAGTCCCGACAGCCGTGATCCATGGTCATGGTGCAGCTGGCTCACAGGGCAGCAGGGTCGGTACAAGGTACAATTTGGGGGCGCCCTCGTGATTCTCAAGATCCTCAAACACGCCTGCGCAGCGTATGATGTATCTCTCGAGTCCGACTTCGTCCTCGCCGCGCGAGCAAGATAAGCGGTAGCTAGTGACCTTGCTCGCGGGCGCCCCGCGCTCCCCGTCGCGTCGGAGCCCTATTACGCCTACGCTTCCGCCCGCCCGACGCCTCGAGGGATAATCCCTGCATACAGGCATCCCCGAAGATAGCTCGCTTGTACCAGTATCCCCGAGCACGCACAGAGCACGAAGGCCGCGCATATAGCGAGCGCCGCAGAGAGAGAGGGGGGGGAGCACTCGGCCCAGTCAGGCTGCGGTCGGTGAGCGGGCAGCATGCGGACGACCGGTCCTCAACTCGTCGGGCTCCTGCGTGCGCGAGGACGACTCGGGGGAGCCGTTGGGTGCCTGGACGCAGCGGCCCTGCCCTGGACGAGACGCTCTTCGCACGGCTTGGGTGCGGACGTGCGGGTGAGGGCGGGCCGAACGCGGGGCGGGATCGGAAGGGGTTAGCGCGAAGCCGGGATCGGTGCGCGGTGTCGACGTCCTAGATTCGACTGGCCCACACCGTACTTAGCGCTAGGTATGCGACGGTAGTAGAGCTGAGAAGGGCTCCGGAGCCCGCTCTCAGGCCTCAGGCCTCAGGCCTCTGTACTCTGTCCTCAGTATTGGCTGGCCCGGCCGCACCGTCCATACGATGCCTGAGGCCTGAGGGAGGGGACCCCGGACAGGAGGGGACGATATGTCTGGCCCAAGTGCACGGGGCTCCCGACGTACGGTGTGTCTTCCGACGCAAAGTGCCGCCATGTCACGACTCATGATGTCCGTGCTTCGAGGTCGGCGGCAGGTGGTGGTGTAAAATGGAATAGGAACTGGAACTGGGAATGGGACCGACCGACCGACGTAATGGCGGCTTCGTTTGGCGAGGCCCGGAGTCCTTGCGCCCTTTCCATCTCTCGCGAAGTCGCCATCCGAGGGTAGAGTGGCAGACGCATTGACGGCACCGTCAGACGGGAGGACAGACCGTGGGCTTTGCTCGAGCCTGCCAGTACTTTCACGGTCGGGATTTGATCTAGACGATGGTTTGGACGGTGCAAGTGCTCGGATGTGCTCCCGGGTTCGAAAGAGAGAGTCCGGCGTTGGAACATGGAACGCGCAAGCTGTTCCGCTCTCCGCCCACATGTCACGGTCGTGGTCGCTCGAACGTCGAATGTGGGGGTCAAGTATTGTGCAGACGAACGGGAAGGCTTTGTTGAACGTTGAAGACGAGCTCTGGATTCCAGAGTTCGATCCTGGCTCGTCGGACGCACCTCCCGGTGAACACGGGCGCAGCCAGGAGCGTTCCGCTTTTCCATCCGCCCGTCCGCGTCAACCGCTGGCGAGGCGGGCGCCAAGCTCGGAGCGGTAGCAGTGGACAGCACACAGCTCAAGTGCACCTGGGCTGACGTAGATGGGTTCGGAGATTGGCAATGGCCTGTCCGGCTGGAGACGGGAGGAGGGAAGATGGGCTCGAGGCACGGACAGGCTCGAGGTGCGTTTGATCTCAGCCAGTGCAGTGATCTGGGATCGCAGTGGCCCATGGGAGCGGGTGGCGTGCCCCGAGTGGATCGTTCGTGGAAGTCAGTCCAAGCCCGCCCCGGATTGGGCCCGGCGCGGTGGGACGACGAAGATCCGGTGGCAGCTGCGTCCTGGGCCTGATATGTGCTAGACGGTTGGTGGCCATATGTGGTGTGCCGGCGCAGGCTGAGCAGTCCGCTCTATCTGCGAGTGGCTTCGGATGCGCAAGCTCATTCGTCCGCCGGGAGAAAGCGAGGGTGGGGGCTGCAGAAGCCGAAGGTGCGTCACGGTCTGGATGGACGGTGCTGATTGCCACGATCAGCTGCGTCCACGAACCATCCGTATGTCATGAATCACGGGGCCTTCGCAGCATCCTGATACAAACTATCGGTGTCGGCCGTGCGTGTGCGGGTCTTCCCGCCCACTGTGGCCCATGAACGACCAGAACGGTGGGATGACGAGTCGTATGCGTTGCGGTGCGGTGGAAGAGCGGTTGTGGCACAACGTCAGTGGCTATGACCACAGTCCTTTACGAGCGGGCGTAGCAGCAGAGGCCTCGAGGATGGCATAGTAAATTCAGGAACGTCCCTCCCTTCTGGAAACGGGCGGTTAGATCGCAGCATGGGGAGAACTGCAGTAGCACTTACCGTCCGTGCTTCTATGGATCTTCTGCCCCGACGCTCGAGGACGATCCTGCCCGCGACGAACCTCCAAGGCCATATAAGGACAGGATCCGGACCCCGCCGCAGATGGAGTGAAGATCCGGAGCGCCAAACGCCGCATCTGGAAGGGGGGTACGCGTGACGGTTAATCGCCCTCTCGCGAACAGTACCTCGTCCTCAGCCGACGACACACCCAAGTAGCTTCTCGGGCGGGCCCGGATGGTCCGATTCCGTCGCACCGCCCGCACTCACCTGGCCGGGGTTTGGCAGAGAGCGAGGGGCGGGAGACGCAGCTCGCGTTCGAACCGCATCTATCGCGCGAAGCCCAGATGGTGCGCGAGCGAAGCCGCCCCCGGGCCCATCCTACATACGTAATCCGGGACCACGGACGGCGGGGACGCCCGGGCGTGCGCACATCGCCCGCCGGGAGGTTGGGAGCTCGCCGCGCGGTCTCGGTTGGGGAAGATTCAAGAGCCGCGAGGACTCGGAAGCGTCCACGGTGGAACAAGCCTGGCTGTTTCCCCGAACAGAGATGAGTCATGTCGGTGGCCGACGTTGAGCGAGAACACTCCAGTCGACGAGTCCACGATTGAGCCGTGTTCTATACGTTCTAGCCAGACCCAGCAGCTGGCGCGATTCGGAGAAATGTGCGAACGGGGGTGCGCGTTGAGTCAACCCGAGAGCGTCGGTGGTTTGATTTCAGTGTCCACGAGGGATATCAGACTCCCGATAAGCATTGGCAAGTGTCGAGCCGCAGCTTCGTTATCAGCCCCTGTCACTGATACGCCATCTCCTCCACCGTCGGGGTACGCCACAAAAACGCTGATTCCTGGGTGCGGTAGCCCATGGTTGAAATGTTCGGTGAGCTGCGTTTGGGCCGAATGTCCGAAAATAACCTTGAAACGCAACGGTAAGTTGTTCCCGGGTACGGGCCTCAAGTGCTGTCGGCGCACGATTACAACGCATACACGCAACAGGATACGGTCGTACAGCACCTGTATTCATGAAGTTGCCGGCACAGCGCCTGGAGTCGTTTCGGAATGCCACGAAAGGGGTGTTACGGACGCTGTCGTTAGCTCGGCTCGCTCAGCGGGAGTTCTCCGGACGACTACGCAGACGTTGTCAGTCGCCACGATGCATGGGCGGTGGGCAGCCGGGGGGAGTAGGAAGTCATCGTCAAAGAAAGATTAGCGAACACACTCGGGTATCGGACTCGGCACTGTCTGTGACCGTGACTGGTCACGGATGTTGAACGCCACGAAGTGGGCGACGACGGTGAACCACGACGAGCCAGGCTGATGGCAACCCGCTGTGCGAGACGACGGAGGGTCTAGACGGCCGCGCTCTGCCTTCCGGGCCACACACGCTTAAGTCGGTGGCCAGCCCAGGGCGAGGAAACCGGGAGCGGCAGGCGCGGGAATAAGCTGGCAGTGAGT